GAATTTGATAAATAAGGAATATAATATGGAATCGTGTATCTAAAAAAATTAATAATGATATAATTATAATCATATACTGTAGCTCAAATTTTCACAGTAGTACACTTTGGAAATGGTGGATTATAGAGGAGTTATAGAGGAGACAGGTTGTGTATTGCCTCTTTTTACACTTGTAAAAGAGAACATTCCAATGTTAATGCGACACGGAAGATATTATAAATAATGAAACGCTTTCGGGCTCAAGTGGTTATGCACCCTACATTGCTGGGGGATCATCATTGTTTGCTGGGATAGGATCCAAATCTTCTGTACTGGATAAAGAGATTAGATAAACGATGGAAGTAAAGGTGCTGTGTGGATAGAACTATACACAGTGTTAGAAACCCACATTGAGATGGCAGCATCTCACTGAGGATAAATTATTTTAAAGTGCTGGCTTAAGGAGACAACCATATTCAGTATCAATACCTAGTTAGTTATTTCAACAAATTGCCTCTAAATATAAACATCTTAAGATGTTGGCTCTGTGGATCAGCATCAGCTATGTTTGCCCATTCCTTCAACTCATGTGCATCCAACATACAGTTCAATGCAAGCAACTACACAAAAATACAAGTTTTAGCAGTTTGAAATTATTCAAATAGCATTTAAAATTCAGGGGGATGGGAAGGAATTTTCAGTAGCATGCAATGTTGTCATTCTTAAGGAACAAGTAATAGGTTTATTCTATGCTGAAAAAAGAAGAGAGAAAACATAATATTTCGCCTTCTTCAGGTGTGAAAGTCTTCAGCTCAAAATGAAATGGAGTTTGTAATGTAGGGCGCTCTGAACGAGTTCAACTTTGATGCAGGACAAATGTATTTCCTACAAGCTATACTGTAGTGGCAGTACAGTAGCAGTTTGAAATTATTCATTGTTATTAATAAATCACTTAGCTTCGAACATGTTGTGATATTTAGAAATATAAAAAATGTCAATATTGTGTACATAATATTTGCTATTTTAGTTTTTCAAAGGAATTTTAATTTGTTAAAAGAGAACTCATGGTGGTAGTTGGATTCAAAACCCCAACTTCCAGCACACAAAACAGATGCCTAACCCATTGTATCTGATCAACATATTTGTATTCTCTCGAATTGACTACTGCAATGCTCTGCTCCCTGGGGTATCTAAATCTACTCTGAACAAGCTGCAGTATGTCCAAAATTCAGCAGCTAGAATCCTGACCAGATCTAGTGCAAGTGTTCACATTACTCCTATCCTGGAGTCCTTGCACTGGCTTCCGGTCAAATTCCGCGTAGACTTTAAAATCCTCATGCTCACCTACAAGGCTTTACATGGCTTGGCACCTCAATACCTGTCTGAACTTTTATCGCCCTACTCCCCACCTCGCAACCTCCGCTCTTCAAATTCTGCCCTCCTTACTGTCCCCCAAGCCCGTCTACATTGTATGGGCGACAGGGCCTTCTCCTGCTATGCCCCCAAGCTCTGGAACTCCTTGCCCAAGGATATTAGAGAGTCACCTTCTCTAAACTCCTTCAAATCCAGACTCAAAACCCTCCTTTTCAGAAAAGCCTTTACTTAACTGCTTCCATTCTTCACCCCTCTGCTCTTCTTAATACCATCTTCCACGGTCTCCTCTATTGTTATTGTTGTATTGTTGTAATTATAATTGTGTCCTGTCTTGTGAAATTTTCTTATTTATTGTTGTAGTCTTCTTATTTATTGTTATTGTCATCCTGTAAAGCGCTTTGAGAAGCCACCTTTAAAGGCGCTATATAAAATAAAGTTTATTATTTATTATTATTATTATTACGCCACACATGCAATTGTGTTCAAATGAGTTAAACTGATGCTGACATTTCCAAATACTGTATACTACTGTGATAATTTTAGCTACAGTATATGAAAATAATTATATTGTTATTAATTTATTTAGATACGCAATTCCATATTCTATTCCCTTTTAATCAAATTCTAAAAAGTATGTGTTTTATTACTGCCATTATGACCGCAAATATTCATAGGAAATGCTAAAACACTATAACTTTTTATGAAGCATATAAACCTAATATAGGCAGAAGGAGCACGTAAAAACTATTAAAAAATAACCGCAGTATGTAACCGAAAAACTTTGATACTCAAAATGTTTAGGGAGAAAGTGGAATACTGGTGTGTATTTTTTTATTTAAACTACCAATACCAGCTATAGACAGTTTACATAATATGTTTATGTTCCTAAATTAATATTGTTTATGAGCAATCTCTGGGAAACCATTATAGGCTTGGTGAATCGGAGCTTCTCAAAACTTACTTTGTGATTGGATCAATGAAATGCTGTGGTGTTACTTTTTGTCAATGAAAAAATAGTCCTTTCATGTCGCAAAAAACTGATGCAGACGGTTACAAAGAAAGTGGACCACAGTAATACTTTGAGCTTACAGCCTGTCCAAGGTCATTCATTATTAATAGTATTAGTAATATCTTCTTTAAAGACTTTGATGCATAAAATATTTCTGGATAATTAAAATATTTATGATAAAGGTGGTAGGTTGTGTACTTTTGTCCAACTGAGTAAACTTGCTTTTATAAAATATACCAACTTTTTAATAGTTCATGATTAACAAGCCGTAATACACAGCTTAAAATTATGAAAAGTATAAACAGTATACAACCTAAATGCTTAATTGGAAAAAGTTTGTCCCTTAGTAGTGACCCGGATTCGAAACTGGGCATTTTCTGGCGACAGATCAAATGCTGTACATGAGACGCTAAGCTTCATTAGCTCCACCTGGTGATTTTTCAAAGTGATTCCGTATACTATTATCATAAGTGTGGTATGACGCATTATGACGAATTGTGACACGCCACGCCTACCATGTTTTAACAAAATTTACTCCTGACATTTTGAATGGCTGGATTTGTACTGATGGAAAAAAGAAATGCAACATTTTCTGGAATGAGAATATTATAGTTATGTGCTTTCACAAAAGTTGTCAATTTGTTTTGTTCTGACCAGCAATACAACTTGTGTAGTGAGGCATTGCACTTGCCAATCACACAAAAAGCTCATTAGGTGAACTTTTACCCAACGAGGTCCAGGTTCAAGAAAAAGGCAACACTTGGTCAGTTAACGCCTTGAATGTCACCAGAGGCAAAATTGAGGGCCGTTGTCATGCTGCAAGCAAGCATTTCAAGTGCCAGCTTTGCCAGACACTAGTAAGCCACTCCACTGTGTCCCAACTGCAAATAAGGTTTCAGCAGACTGGTAGGACAGATGACTGTCCAAGATCTGATTGCCCTTGAGTGACCACACCAGAGCAGAACCGACACATCAGACTGGTGCATCTGAGACTGTACTGCTGCTGAAACTGCTGGCAGACACAATGCCCGCATCAGTGACAGGACAGTGAGGCTCCATGCTTCTGGCCTCAGAGCACGGCGACCTGTCAGAGACCCTCTGCTCACACCTCCTAGACGTCACGCCTGACTAGCTTGGACCAAACAGAGGCTGCGATGGACTCGTCAGCAGTGGCGTCAGGTCCTCTTCGTGGATGAGTCACTCTTCAGCCTGTTCCATGCAGACGGGAGGGCCAGAGTGTGGAGGAGGAGGTGTTGCAATTATTTTTTCCATCAGTATATTTTGACAACTAGAAATTTAAAACAAAGTAGTGCAGCCTGTCTGTTTTCTTTATCTTGGTCAATAATAAGGGCCCCCATTAAACTGGGGCCCTGTGTAAGTACACCAAGTGGGCATTACTTGTTAGCCATATTTCAATAATAAAACAGCCATTGCTTTATTACTTTCTGTCTTTTACATTGGAATTTTAATTGGAATTGGAATTTCCACTATTTACCTGTGTTTTATCAATTTAAAGACATTTTAAATTGATATAGTCTGCAAATACTTTTAGAGTTATTTTGTACTAATTGATGATCATGGTTAGTACATTATTGCTAGAGGCTTTTGGATAGTTGTTCTTTATCTGAAGCACAGTGATGCATTAACTCCTTACAGCTTCTCACAGCTAAATTCAAGTCAGGCTGGGACACCTGTCTGTTCATATGTTAATATGTTCATAAGGGTTTTTGAAAGGGTTCATTGTCCCTTTCCTGTTGGTGGGGAAGTGGTGTTGAATAGAAATTCAAACCTGGGTGGTTTATTTACAGTACAGCTAATACTCAAGTGAAATAGAGTCAGATAAGATATGTGAGATGCATTGCTCTTTTCGTTTGACAGCTCTTATCTTATATATTTCTGTCCATCAATTATCTAACTGCTTTATCAAATAGAGGGTCATGGGGGACCTGGAGCTTTTCCCAGTAAGCAACAGGTGCAACTCAGGTTACACTCTGGATGGAATGCCAGTCTATTGCAAGGCACACAAAGACACAAGCATGCAGAAACTCACACCAATTTTACAGAAGCCAGTTAACCTATCTGTATGTTTTTGAACTGTGGGAGGAAACTGGAGTGCTAATGATTCACTCAGACCAGGTTTGCTTCAATTCTACAGGTTGTTGTATCAACAGGTGGCTTTCCTTCAAAGCCAAAGTTTCACTGTTTCACATGTTTGAATGTTTGTTTAAAGGATTGTGGAGGAGCCGGAGACTATCCTGGCAAGCAGCGGGTTCATATCAGATTACACCCTGGATGGGATCACAGTCCATTGCACACAGAGACACAAACACTTTCACACCTATGTCTGGGATTGAGTCCAGGGTCCCAGCATGGTGAGGCTGGAATACTAACCACTGCCCCATCATGCTGTCCTGGTCAAATATTTGATAAAAATACAATAGATGGGACGCACTATTTCAATAGCTTCTATTTACCCAACCACATCAGTTTACATTACTGATCTTTTCAAATCTTTTTCAGTAATGGTTTTTGGGTAAGCCTTTCTCTAACGATTCTTTAACTTTCTTTTCATATTCTTTAACAAATTCTCTAACTTTCTCTAACATTGTTAAAATTGGTATTTTGTTTTAATTGACAGGAATACACCATAGATGTTTTCTTCCGACAAAGCTGGAAAGATGAAAGGTTAAAATTTCATGGACCAATGAACATCCTTCGATTGAACAACCTGATGGCAAGCAAAATCTGGACTCCAGACACTTTCTTCCATAATGGAAAGAAATCAGTTGCTCACAATATGACAATGCCAAACAAGCTGCTAAGAATTCAAGAAGATGGGACACTATTATATACAATGAGGTACCACTTGAAACTTTCTTGAAATCCTGGTTCTATTGACATATTTAACTGCTCCATATTCACACTTGCCTTTATCATTTCAGTCTTGTTCCATGTTAATGTTCCATATAACATAAAATATGTTATATGGTCTAAGTATGTTAAAATGGGTTGTCAGCCTGTTTTATAGTTTATCTATTTAATTTTCTGTCACATTTTTTGTTAATATACATACATCAATTTTCTAACCACTTAATACAATTCAGCATCTCAGAGGAGCTGGCAGCAATAGTAAAAGGTGGGATACACTATGGATGGGATGCCTGTCCATCCAGACACAGACACCAACACAGACTCCAATTTTCTGGGAAGTCAGTTAACCTCTCAGTATATCTTTGGAAATTTGGATATTTGTATGTATTTGGAATTTTGTAATACACGCAGTGGTTAGCATTACTTTGTAATACCCGTGCCAACACTGGTCCATGTCTCAATTTCTCCATGACTCAGTCTCCACTTGGTCTGTCAAGATATCTTATGCCATGTAGGTGATGGGGGTTTTAATTTACTGTTACATTCAGAAATTGTACAGTAAATTCAGAATAGAACAGTAAATTGCAAGAGTACTTAATAACTTTTAGCAACCAATCAAACATAATGATTTATAGTCTTACACACTTACTCTAAATCTACAATGCACAATTTTAGGTTTCAAAACCAAAACATGTATAACAAAACAAAAAACGAAATAAAATGTATTTGAACTGATCGGCTGTGATCAGAAAGGCTGATTATTCAGAAAGGCTGATTATTCAGTCAGGATTTACAAAGTTTTAATAAGTTCATGGTTACAATACACATTGACTATAACGTCAACTATGATAGAAACTACGAGATACACATCTATTAGTCACCCATAATCACATTTATTCTCAGATACATGTTTATATGCTTTTGATATCATTAACTAAACATGAAACTTGTGTTTGGATTGTAGTTAAACTCTCAAGAATTATAATGTGAATCAAAAAGTTTTTATACACAAAGATCCGCTGGCCACACATCCTTGATTATTTAAACTTTCCAATGGTAAGATGGAGCCTGGGGTAGGTCCGATTGCTGTTCTCTCTATGCTGTGAGTATCCTGAGTGCAGAGAGGGAGGAAGTGAAAGAGAGAGCTCTGCCTTGCATTGCTAGGCAACTCTGACAAATTTAGCATCTGGCTGAACTTCGGTCTTTAAAATCAGTCTGTGAAGAGTTTGTCTTCCTGGGATCTGGCAGCAAGAGAGACAGGTGGGGAAAACTCGGTTAGTCCCAACTATAGTGTGGTTCTGAATATACTCTGATATTTAATGTTGACATAAGAAGAGTCTAACTTTGTCTTTTTTTGTTGATCAGGTGAAAATAACAATGGGTTTGCAATCAAAAGATTTATTTTGCTTCAAAAAGAATATATTGGACTGAATTCTGCACTTTACTGACTCACTCTCTCATCCAGGCATCTTTTAGAAAAAGCCCTGACTCAGATTGCTTGCAGTCACATGTTTGGAAATGTCAATAGCTGGAGAGAGATGAGAACCGAGTGAGTTAACCAAATACGATCAGTTGGGTCTTCACTTTTAAAATACAACATCTGAAGATGGTGATTGCTATTGGCTAAAGTTTTTGTACCTGTGTGGTAGCATCAATGGTGCTATAGTTTATTGTAGAACCATGTTTGACCCTTTCCATTCAGTGCAGTATTGAAACCATTATTTTGAGTACTGAAATTCCCTGAAACAGCAGTTTTGACAGTCATTTGGAGAAAAAAGAGAATATCAAGCACAGTACATAAATAATAAAATTGATTAATAAAGTGTATTATAACACCACAAAATAATATTATAAATACATTTTTTTACTAAATTCCTTGTGAATGTAATTAATCATAATCCATAACTCAGTTTAGATGAAATAATTCAATCAGAATACTTTTTTTTTAATATGGTTGCAGTAAAATGTGTAATGCCTCTCTGATAGTTGTTCTTGCACTTTATTCTGCAGGATTCAAACCAGTTTAAGATACATAGTCCCCACTGACAAACACTCTAGCCCTGTAATCTAGTTGAATTATTTTGCACTGTAAATTGACTTTTTACTCTGGTGTACATGCTTTTTAATACAAGAGTGAGCAGTCCTTTACTTGAGTGTCTGCATGTTTTATTTTCATTTCAACTTTCACAACAGGATTGGACATCTCTGACTTAATACATTTTAACTCAATACAGTGCTTCTTTAGTTTATTATGAAACAGCAAATTGCATAGTCTGCTAAATCAACAGACACCATGCTGCTTACTGACATAGAGAATGGGGAGATGTCAGTGTGTAAACTTGAAATTAATTGATTGAGAAACACTAATAGAACTAAATCTGACTATTATGTCTCACCACTCAAGAGAGTTGGATTGAGACCTATTGTTTTGACACATGATGGAGAATCAGAAGGCACATGAAAAAAAAAAATCATGGCCCTTGTGTTGTGTTATACACTGGTGGGCTGCAGGTGTCAGGTACATGGTTGGCCTGGGACACATTAACATTCCCATAAGTGGTTGCATTTACTGTATCCCAGGGTTCTCATAACATTCTTAGGCCAATTGTTAGTGTTCCCTTCACTCTTATCAGTCGTCACATCAAATTGCCAATCATTCCTCCAATTAACATCTAATGGTGCTCTGACATTAAACTACTCATGATAGTGCTTTTTTGAGAAATTACCTGTGAGAAGCGTTAACCTGAAATCTGAAAGCAGAAGTCTAAATCCTGAAGCTCTTGCCGTAGCTCTGTCTACTCTTGTGCTATGATTGCCTTCCTCACAGCCTGATCCCCATACACCATAACTCTGTTTCATCTGCATTCATTCTCAGCTGTCTCTGGCAAGCCCCGAGTGCCTTCAACCTTGGTTGCTTCATCCAGCCTCTGAAGATTGCTGAATTCCTACAATTGGATTCCTGCTTGTCAGTTCCACAAAAACCTAACCCTGAATCTGTATTTCCACAGCATACAAGGCATACAATCAACCACGATCTAGATCTAACCTCCAAAGGACAATAACTGACTGAAATGATACATAATACATAATATAACATAATAATAACAAAAATCTTCTGGTGCTAGAACTAAATTGTGGCTCAAAGATTTGAAATGATATTGGGCTGTTGTTTGAATGAAAGGCTACCTCATACTAAGTGGGCAAGAGGGCGTGCCACTGCTCTGACTGGCAAATAGAAGCAATTAAAGGCTGCTTCCCTGGCAAACTAGAACATAGGACTCTTATTAGGACCAGTTTTTTCAAACACACATTTTTGTTGGAGAGATGCTAAGAGACATCTACCTTGTCTAAAATACGTGAAAAATAGCTTAATCTGGACATTAACTCTAAAGAATAAATAATGCCATTTGTCATCATCTTGAACCCTGAAATGCACTGCTAGGTGGAAGGTCATAATATGACCTTCATATTATGAAGTGATATTATAATAGTGACATGGCAACCCACTAAAGCTCAGCAGGTGTGAGCCTGGTCATTACCTCGATGGGAGAGTAGGGGTGTAACCCCAGCATCCTGGCCAAATATCCCATTGGCCCTTACCAATCAACCTCCTAATAATCCCCATCTATGAATTGGCTTCATTACTCTGCTCTCCTCCCCACTGATAGCTGATGTGGGGTGAGCGTTCTGGAACACTATGGCTGCTGTTGCATCATCGAGGTGGATGCTGTACATTGGTAATGGGAGGGGAGTCCCCATTACCTGTAAAGCACTTTGAGTGGAATGTCCAAAAAAGCGCTATATAAGTTTAAGCAATTATTATTATTATTATAATCTTTTCATTGCTGAAAACTTGTAATCCTGGGACAACAGGTACCTATGTATACAACCTCATCCCTTTACAGCTTTGTGCAACATCTGATTGTGCCTAAATGTCCAAAGATTAAAGTTTGTATTTAGGATACACAAATTGATGGACATTTATGGCATTTAAATAAACTGTGTCATTACTGACAAACTTTTACTAGTCTAATTTAATATCAAATGTTTTAAATCATTGTGATATTGTGGATAGTCTGGAAAAAAGTAGCAGTGGTAAAATATTTATTCTCATTGTCTGGGACTATAAAACATGTTAACCAAAAGCATTCCCACTTAAATCCAAATTATTAGGACAGTCAATTTTTTTTGTATGCATTCTATACATAGCTTATAACTTTATAACCGGTCTGCTTCATAATTTCTACCACTTATTAGGCACTATGACACCCTCAGACAGTGGAATTATTTGAGCTGTTCAGTCTTACACATAAGAACATGTTTCACATCAGAGACTGGTAAAGACTGGGATGTCTGGCTGCTATATGCAAAAGCAGGAAATGAGGTTCCACAAACTTACCCTTTGAGCTACTTTATGGCAGAATATTAGAAGGTCCATAATCAGAACATTACTGACCAGGTGAGAGGCAGTCTGGAAAAGTTATCAGCCCTTGCAATGCAGACCCAAGCAACCTAAAAGAACTAGTTTTATCTTCAGTGCAGAAAAAACCTTGACAAAAAGTCCTAAAGTTGTTGCATGAGATGAATAATATGCTCTTGACAAAATGGCAGGGCTAATACACTTTACTGAGGAGAACCTAGCCAATGAAATGTGAACTGGATGTGTAATGTAATGTTCTGCATCAAGCTTTTTTTAAAAAGAGAAAAGAGCCACAACAGGTTAACTATGTACACACTATCAGCTTGTTATGAAAGTACACGATGAGGATGAAATTGCTGATGCATTTTCTATTTGATGTCATCTAGCTAGACATCACATTTCATTCTCTATACAATATGACATGGACTTCAGTAGTGTTAACCGTAAAAACTCTTCACCAATATTCCAAGATGGACATCTCTCATCCATCAATATCAACACTAGAACACCTGTAAAGGAGAAAATGCATCATGTGCCACCACACAAGGTGACAATGTTTAAAGATGAGCTTGGCACCAAGCTCACTTTCAAAGTCACTTCCCCATCTTCAGTGTTTATAGCGGTAGTACTGTAATCATACCAAAACCCAAACAATAGGATGTTACTGTATATGAACTTCCATTCACTTAACATGCTTCAAATTTACTTGACAGCTAGGAAAATCTAAATATCTTACCATGACTGACCTCAGCAAGGAATATTGGAACGCTTCACTTACTACCATGCAAAACCTCTCAATGTGCTCTGAAAACCATTTGGCATTTTTAATTCACCTTTAATAATAATAATAATAATAATAATAATAATAATAATAATAATAAACTTTATTTTATATAGCGCCTTTAAAGGTGGCTTCTAAAAGCGCTTTACAGGATGACAATAACAATAAATAAGAAGACTACAACAATAAATTAGAAGATTTCACAAGATAGGACACAATTATAATTACAACAATACAACAATAACAATAGAGGAGACCGTGGAAGGTGGTATTAAGAAGAGCAGAGGGGTGAAGAATGGAACCAGTTAAGTAAAGGTTTTTCTGAAGAAGAAGGTTTTTAGTCTGGATTTGAAGGAGTTTAGAGAAGGTGACTCTCTAATATCCTTGGGCAAAGAGTTCCAGAGCTTGGGGGCATAGCAGGAGAAGGCCCTGTCGCCCATACAATGTAGACGGGCTTGGGGGACAGTAAGGAGGGCAGAATTTGAAGAGCAGAGGTTGCGAGGTGGGGAGTAGGGCGGTAAAAGTTCAGACAGGTATTGAGGTGCCAAGCCATGTAAAGCCTTATAGGTGAGCATGAGGATTTTAAAGTCTACGCAGAATTTGACCGGAAGCCAGTGCAAGGACTCCAGGATAGGAGTAATGTGAACACTTGCACTAGACCTGGTCAGGATTCTGGATGCTGAATTGTGGACATACTGCAGCTTGTTCAGAGTAGATTTAGATACCCCAGGGAGTAGAGCATTGCAGTAGTCAATTTGAGAGAATACAAATATGTTGATCAGCTTTTCAGCCACAGTTAATGATAGCATAGGGCGTAGTCTTGTGATATTTCTAAGGTGAAAAAAAGATGTTTTGACAGTATGCTGTACATGTGGGTCGAATGTTAAGCCAGAATCGAATATAACCCCAAGGTTTTTCAATTTTGATTGAAGCTCAAGTACAGAGCCATCTACAGACAGGGTTACAGGACTGGCTTTACGAGGTTGATGGGGGTTACCAAAAAGCATGACTTCAGTCATGCTTAACCTTTAGGCCTTTTTGTTAAAATGGTTTAACTGCCACATTCCAAAGACTGACAGAGAAAAATGCTTTCAGACTGTTATGATTTTTGCTGTAAATTTGGATGATATCATCATTAATAGCACCTTCTGGCAACCCCATCTTTATCACATCCAAATCATTCTTCAGAAAACCTGTGAAGTGGTCTTAACAAGTCATGGAACTAAATGTTCTATTGTTATTGATACCAAGAAATGATATCTCAGAAACATCTCAGTCTGGCATTATGCAGAAAAAGTCAAAACTATCTGAACATGTGCCACCCCTACAGTATATAGATTGAGCATCAGTTGGTGCTGATATTTTATTACCCAATTCACTGACATTGCACTACTTTAGCCAGTCTTATGAGGAAAACAAAAACACTTCACCTGGACAGATGACTGCATATTTCCCTTAAAAAAACTTTATTTAATCTGATATGGAAAAAGTGTGCTTAGATGTCAAATGGGATCTGGACAGTCCAATATATTATTAATTTTACCATAATTCACACTTGAAATGGATTATCAAGCTCTCCAATGAATTTACACGATGAAGTACATCAATAATCAATTATTTTCTTTCATTCTGCTACAACACCCAAGAGTAAACAATAACATAGAATTTTTGCCCAAACATACCACTGATATAATCAAAGACAAGGTCTGCCAATACAAATAAAGTCTATATAACACTTTATCATAACTATAGCTATGCTTTCCTGTATGTAAACAAAAATAGCCCCACCAACACAGTGATGAGTCTCAAACGTCCTTTGTAGAGGGTGGGGGAGTAATGTGAGGATGTAGTCATAGACACATTACAAATAAGACAGAGTCATAGACACATTAGAAATAAGACTAAAACCCAAAAATACTAAATCATGAATCCCATGTATTGTTCATATGATTACTTGCTGGCAGTTGAGGTATGTAGAAAAAGGAGGAGGAACATGATAAGCACCAGACAACGGTACCAAGATTAAAGATTTAAAACTCCTGTCTCAAGACTGAGACCATTTCTGAATCTTACAACACTGCCTATTAGCACTTCCTTCTGTAAAAAAATAAAATTGTGATAATATTATAAAGCTGTCCTGAATGAGTGGTTTCAATTATTTTATTTTTTTCTCTAGCTTAATAATAAGAATAAGAATAGTTTTGGACATATTGCAACTTACTACAAAGAATGTTAGGGAGTTGCAGAAATCATGCCTTAATGTTATAAATACTGTAAATTGATCAAACACTCAGCATTGAACATTGATAGAAAGTGCCCAATGCTTGAAATATTTTTTAGATGGAAAAAATATGTGTCCTTAATTTATCATGTTTGGCTCAAAATATAGGAGAGAATTTAGCATGACTCCAAAAATTTCTGAATACTGTTTAGCCTTAAGGATGATTTGGTTTGGTTAAGGATACATTCAAAAATAATGTTCTTTTCTTTCTTAGACTGACTGTTCAGGCAGAGTGTCCCATGCATCTTGAAGACTTTCCCATGGATGCCCATGCCTGTCCTCTGAAGTTTGGCAGCTGTAAGTAAAATATGCAAAACATATTCAATTTATAAGACCATGGCTATCCTTTACATGAGGGTTATAAAGGGTCCATTCTCCATACTTTTTAATAGTGTTCATCAAGAGTTTGACCTTTCTAACTCATTAAAATGACATTCAATTAAAAAAGTCAGAGTGCCACAATCTGTAAAACAAATCATATTTAGTACATTTTTATATGAGTAATTTTCATGTTTAATTTTATGATAATAAATGTTTGCCTAAAACAAGAGGTCATTCAGCACAATTAACTCCTTAGATCAGGGGTGCCCAACCAGTCAATCTCAGAGTGCTTGCCATTCGATTGCAATAATTTTAGGCAAAAAAAATAGGCTATTTGGCTACTTTTTTCGATAGCAGAAAAATTCATTCAGATCTGTGCATGAAATGCCATACGTTTTACTGCCCTTGTGTGTGTTTAACCCTTGTCGAATGGGTTGTAAAAGTCTCTTCCCTGAGTGCTGGCTGACACTGAAATAAAGGCTACAGGAGCTCAGTAAATAGAGAGTGTTGTGTGTGCTACCCAAGAACGTTCTTTTGGTTATTGCAGCATGAACCCCACATTTGCTACAGTGCATAGTGGAGCAAAACAGACTGGCTGTGACAAATTCGCCAACAGTTTGATAAGTCTGATTGGCTATTTCATAGTTGTAGTGTTTGAGCGAAAATGATAAAGCAAAAAGACTGAAAACTTACCGTTACCGCAAGGAATGGGAGCATGATTTGTTTTCACGTTCAAATCTGCAATGCTAGCGTCTACACGAAAAAGGGAAATATAGAACAACAGTTCAAAACAGATCACAAAACAAATGATGTGGACTTGATTAAAGTAATCCCGGACACCCTCCCAGATACTAAGAACCCATCTGTTGAAGAATACATCACCTCCCTCCGAAAACCCTGGCTTACATATCCGTAACCCAGGACGATTGGGTTTCTTTACTCATTATAACAGTTTTACCTTGGCTTCTGGGCAGGTCCATGAGGAAGTCGACAGAAATATGTGACCAGGGGCATTCGGGCACAGGAAGGGGTTGCAGGAGTCCCGCTTTCTTGGTACAAGGGGATTTAATCCTGGCACATATGGCACATACAGATGCAGCCATTCAAAGTGAGCGGTACAGACACGTACCGCAGGTAATTGGCTGCGGTGTCACGCATCATGACGCAAGATGACGCGGGGTACCGCGGTACGTGATTGGTTGACCGACAGGGGCACTCGTGGTCCGTTGGTCTGTCGTAGAAAGATTTACTGTACAGTACAGTAAACGTCTTTACTGTGCCCGTTGTAGATATTGAATTTTACCACTGAAGGGAAATCTTAGTAGCTGAGCATAAAAAGAATAGGAGCATACTGTAACGT